GTGATTGGAATGAGCCAAACTTCGTAAGGCAGGATACTTTCAATACAAGAAAGTTTCTGACTTCAAAAGGGAAGTTAGTAGTGTTCCTATTAACAGGAAATATATTTTAGTTTTTTCAACTAGTGTATAACATAATGGTAAAAATCATCGAACTATCACGATAAATATTTAAAATTGTATGGTAGTCATCCTTAAATGACTATTATTATACGAAGTACTAATTTTTCATTATTTGATTTTTTAATTTTTTTTTATCAAAATTATATATAAATGTTTTTTCTTATTTTTAAAATTCATTTACTATTTTTATATTTTCATAATTAATTTATAAATTTTTTAAAATTCAATAATAGTAAAAAATGAATTTTGTAAATTAATTAGGAATAATATAAAAAATAAAATAAAAAATTATTTCAAAATTAATAAATGAATTTTTGAAATTAGATAAATGATTTATAATTAATCTTGACATTAAAAATAAATCAAAATTATTCAATAAATAATTAGTACTCCCGTATAATGATTATGTTATATTCTAAGGAAGCTTTTAGCAATACTTTAATTCAAAAACATAAAATAAAATTGGTCTATCCAATCCTTTAAGTAAAAATGTGTCATGTGCGTGTGGAGAACAATTGTCTTAATATAGGAAATGTTAAATTTTTAGTTACATACGAAAAAGGCCTAGGGAGGATATAGGATTTGGTCCACAAATATGGTCTAGGGAGACTCCATTGTAATCCCCCATATTTTGAACTTAATTATAATTTATTTATATATTATTCTTACAAATATTTTTATGTCAGTTTCATTAAATAAGTTAATTTTTATGAAAAGATTTAAGTAAACTAATATGTTTTTAACTAATTTACAATAATTTTAACATTATAGCCCAAAATCCAAATATTACTCCTAGTCTAATTAAGAAACCCAAAGCCCAAATAAAACCCTCAAAAACCCTTACCTTCTCCCCCTTCTCACGTGAAAAAAAAAAAAAAAAAATCAGCTTCACTTCTTCCTCCTTCTCCTTCATTCACGCAGCAAATAGAGAAAAAAAAACCCCCCGAAGCTTCCCCTGCTGCCACCCCTGCCGCGCGCCGCGCCACTGCAGTTCGCTCTCCCCTCTTCTCCTTCCTCTTATTTCTTTTTCTTTATTTCTTATTATTTTGATTAAAGATTCAATTTTTATTTGATTTCAATTATAAAATTATTGTTATTAGGCTTTAATAGTATGTATAAATTACAAAAGATTATAAATTTATGGATTTTGTATGTTCTAATTATTAAATAAAATTTCAGATTATGTATTTTGCATATTTTAGGGTTTAAAACATTGATTTTTTCATGTTTTAGGGCTTGATTACGTGTTAATCAAACTATCTAATCATACTATGTTTAAATTACATTAAAATATAATTACCTTGATCATAAATAAATTTTCAGATTTATTAAAGTTTCAATTTTTATGAACAAGTAGTGTTAATTTCGTGTTTTTATGCTTCTAAACCTACAAAATAATCATTGTGAGTATTTTGTGATTGAAAAAGCTTTGAACTTTATATTCTAACTTTAAAAATAATTTTCAGATTTCATAACTTTTATTTTGAAGCCTCTAATTGCATTGAATTGATATATTCTTGGGTTTTTAACACACTAACTTGCTATATAATGACTAATTCAAGTAATTATGCTTATGGGGTTATTTTATATATTTAAAACAAATTTCAGATTTATTTACCCACTTTAAAGTTGTTGTAATTTGATATAAAACACTATATTTTCATAATTCTAACATGTAAACTTAAAGTTGGGATGTTATATTACGGACTTTGATTTTTTGGGGACAATCTAAAGGCTTTATTTTGGTGATTTAAGAGGTTTTAAAGTAGTTTAGTATTGCTGTAATTTTAATTGCTTTGGTATTGATTTATTTCTAATTGTTTTGGTTTAGGAGAGGACTTTGTAGAAGGCGACTTCTAGTTTAAAGTGGCCAACCGGATTGTTTACACAAGGTACGTACAAGATACGAAACCTTGCTTGTAGGTGCATGTTTAAGGACGAATCTAGAACTTAGTATCATGTATAGGATTGACTGGGTTAAATTGTCTGGTTATACATTGTGAATTTCAAATGATGTGCACTAGTTTATAATGCAAGTATTATTTGTGCTTTAATTATGCAAGGTGCGCTTAAGGCAAAGGTATGTGATTGGTGTAAAGATCAAATTATTACTCGTTCATGATTAATGTAAACAGGATGAGTAAAGGAGAAATTCAAGTCTTGTAAGACGAGGTTAAGGTTTTGGGGTGCCTTATGCACTCAAGGTGTTTATACACCGAGGTAGTAATGGAATAATTAATAAATGTTGTTTGTCACTATTAAATCAAGAATCTAAATTGAGAATTTGCCATGTTGATTGAATTGCTTTTTGGGATGTTTGTATTGATATGTATATGAAGTCATCACCAAGTCTAACCTGTAAATCACGTAAGTGCAAGATGGATGAGCAATAAAACTCTGGAATGGTGCACATCTGGAGTAATGACAATCAGGGGTTGGGTACATGGGGTATTAGCCGTGTACTTTTATCGAGGCCGTCTGATCTACGAGTCTTCTTATTTCAAATATTATTTTTCTAAAACTAGGAGTTAGGTGAGATCTCATACTAACTACGGTCACGGAGTCGCTCCGTGGTCGTTGGATGTTTATTGATGTTTCCGAAAGGAGGCATGGGGTTTTTCTTTATTGATGTTCCAAATGGGACATGGGTTGGACAACCTTGTCTATTGCTAAATCCAATGAAATAAATAAATGAGTCAGTTTAATATTAATTAGTGAGGTCTTAATAAATTTGATAATCGAGTCGTGAATTGAGTTTGTATTTAATGATGCTTGTGCTTGAATATTAGTAGCATGTTAGGTATTTTCTTAATTTGTTTTCGCAGCTTGTATGTACTCAGCTTTGCTGACTGCGTGCTTTTGTGTGTGTCTTTCTTTGGTCATGGCCTTCGTCTTTCAATGACCCTGTGACGATCCAATTTTTACACTTGTAATATTGGGGAGCAGAATAACCACAGGTTCTTACACATGCAGCATTCATCAGGGTTGTGGGATCTTGAGTAGAGAGTTGGTTGTTTCCATATTATTTATTTTGCAAAGTTTGAATTTATTTTAATTCGATTTTAGTTGACACTAATTCTTTTGGTTTGAATTTATTTGAATACTGAATCTAATCACTGACTACTTTTTATTGGGTTTTGAATAAGGGCCTTAATGGTTCCAACTTGTAATACTTATTTTGATTTAATTCCTTTGTTTTGAGGTTTATTTAAAACTGTTTTGGTTTTCCGCTGCAAATTTCTGAGATAGCCTTAACGTTTGAACACGTGGCGGTAGCACACCAGTAATTCTCTTGAAATTGTTCAGGTTATATACAGGTTTCTCACAGGTTTTTAAGAGAGAATTATTGGAGTGTTACATCCATACTAATTAACCAATTGATGATACAAAGTTTTAAGATTAACTCTACCTAATAAAGTCAAACCATATCTTTTTTCAATGTTTCTGAGACTACAATGGGTTTCAATATGAAGTACTCCGTATATCAAAAGAGTGGTAGCTAGGATGCTAACTAAGATGCATGATTGGTTTATTATATGGTTTTGTGGACTACACCTCTTAGTACCATAATTTTTCCCATCAATCCATTCAAAAAAGTAAAAATTATGATGATGGATATTTTTAGATTCACAATAATACTGTAGTTTAGTATAATCAAACATTTTACTTCGATCTGTAGCATATGAATTTATTAACACATAGTTTAATGTGAGATAATTTTCAATCAATCAAGTTTCTCAAAAGTTGTGAAAATGTAATTAGGGTAATATTAATGGCCGATCATGGTAGCAATGTTAACGTATTATTCCATGAAATTTTATTGTCTGTATTGGTATGTTGTACGTATAGCAAAGAAATTTTCTTTTATAATAAAAGTCCAATATGTCACACACGTACTTCAATAGAATTATAACGCATAGATTATATTTCTTGGCATTGTTCTTAAGATAAGTAAAATAAATAAATAAATTAAAAAAAAAAAAGGACATTAAGAAGCTTTCATTTCTTGGCATTACAAAGCATAGTCTACAAGAAAAAATGGTACCAAAGTATCATATTTTTGTGGAATTCATGAAATGTCTAACGTACAATGTGGGTGCTACTTAGTTCAAATGATAAACGAACATGGAGATACAATTATTGATATAAGAAATATGTCAAGAGAAAGAAACAACATAATGATCCACTTATCCCAATCTTGTTGGCAGTGCCTGCTCAAAATAAACACAAAGATATTCTTTCATTAAAAAAAATAAATAAACACAAAGATACAATAAATATAATCTATAAACTTCCTCCCAATATCCGTTTTAGGTCACTCCTTAATTTTTTTGCAAATTTTCTCACTATACTTTTACCCTTCTTATTAGAGCCGCATAATCATTCATTCATTTTATATTAAAAATAAGGAAAATTTGTGAATAAGGTCCTTTTAAGTAGACTTTTTGTGACAAAGCCCCTTCTATAAAAAAAAAAAGGTGGCACAAAAGGACCTTATATCATGTTTGGGTTGTGAGGTGGGTCCTTTGACCATTTTCTGACGTTGACTTTTTTATTTTCCGGCCAAAAAAAGCCATGTGTAAAGCACGTGACTTATTTAAGTTCCTTTTTTACCCTGTTTTCTCTCATTGTGGGGAGGATTAGCCTTGAATTACTTTGAATAGCTTTCAATTTTAATTTATGGGATTATAATTGAAGTTTTAGTGTTGATTGTTTTCAGAAATTAGGGTTTAATAGGGGAAAAAAGGGAAAACGAGGGAAAAGAAGAGGGAGAAAAAAGGAACTTAGATGTGACTTTTTTTGGCCGGAAAATAAAAAAGACAACGCCGAAAAATGGTCAAAGGACCCTCCTCACAATCTAAACATGATATAAGGACCTTTTGTGCCATCTATTTTATAAAAGGGCCTGTTGAGCAATTAGGTTTTGATGATTATAAACTAATGATGATTATCTATCTAACGTGTATGTTAAGTTGTGCATAGAAAAAGCAAATTATGCTTGGAACAGGATACAAGGAACCTGAGTAATGACAGGTATATATGTAAGGAACTTGAGCAATATAGGATAAGCAATAGAGGAACAAGAACAACGATAAGTGTTATGGTTGATAAGCATGATGATGGCTAAGGGACCATGAAGGTAACTATGTAAACATGTGTTTACATATGTTAGCTTCATAAGGTAAGTTAGCTTCATAAGGTAAGTATCCTATACATATATAGGTTATGTATGTGTAGGAGTCTTTTAATTTAGTTTAGTTTTCTTTATTGTTTTTATAAATAAAAAACTAACCTTCTGTTTTACTTTGTTATTCTCAGAAGTTTGCTCAGTTCGTCATCATCAAAAAGGGACAACTTGTTGATCCTTATGAGGTTTTGATGATGATGTTAAGAATTGAGCAAACTTCCATTTAATAAGGATTTTCTAGTGTTGTGATGTTTGCAGGTTCAGTAAGCGTTGAGGGCTGAAGTAGGAATTGAAACAGAGGAACTTTAGAGGATCCATGAGGATACAAGTAAATTTAGAAGAAGAGTTCCAGAAATGGAACTTCCAGAAGTTTCTTAACAGGAACTTCAAAACGGGTTGTAACGACCTGGTTTCGGTGTAATGCTGGGGAAAACCCTAAGATCCAGAATATATCAAGACTACAGGATTCCAGAACAAGAGTTTCAGAGAAGCAACATGAAGACAGAGAAATAGAAGTATATTGCTCTAGGATTCATGTAAGTATGTTGGACATAAAAGTCGGTCTGGAACAAGTCTATATAGAACCAAGGTGAATTCCAAACAGTCAATGAAATTAGAGTAACTGACTTGTCAGGAACTCAGAGACTGTCAGAGTTCAGGAACCTAATAGGAACTTAAGTATGAACGTCGTTAAAAGTCGGTTTTAATGATATATATATTTACCTTATACGTGCATATCTTTTAGGGATTTGGTTTTACTGAATAAAGATATTTATCTTCTAATAAATCCCTTTTGGAAAAAGATAAGATTGTTTAAAAAGTATTTTAAACAAAAAGATAAGTTTTGAATAAAATCTGATTTTATGCTAAGTTTATCTTATTATTATTGACAGTTTTTATTCTTAACAAAAAGATATATTTTCGGAAAACTGATTTTTAGAAAATATCTTTTAAACTTATCTTTTCAGAAAATCTATCTTTTTCAAGATGAAATGAATAATTCGAGTGTACTATAAATATGCTCATATGCATTCATTCAAAGTTGAGGCTGACGAAGTGTAGTGGTCGTGCTTAATGGTTTTATCCTTCACCACGAAGCTAAGTCAGTCCTCCTGGTCAAAGTTCCTATCAGGTTTTTGGTTACAGTACGTCTAGTGAGTTCCAGACAGATCTTGAGTGTTCAACATATTAGTTTTATCTCTCTATTCATAGATATGTATTTAGGGATATTCGATGAGATCTTGTAATGGGAAAAAGGGTTTTGAGTGTTTTGTATTTTGGGGTGAGATTGTGAATTATCTTAAATTCACGCTTGTGTATGAGTTTGAAATCTCGTAAAATTCGAGTGGTAGTTAGTCACCTGAGTGGGTGTGTCTTGGATTGCACAGTGAGTGAAAGGAACCTGAGAGGTGTCTTGGGTCACCTAGGAAGTGTCCTGGGTAAAGGGAGAAAAAGGGTCCTGAGAGGTGTCTTAGGTCTGGTAGGAGGTGTCCTATCATATAGTCAAGTGTCCGTGGTGGAACTTTCAAAGCAAAGGTCAGTGTAATAGGTTGTACTAGGAGAGTTGCCTATTATAGTGGAATTTGTTTATAAGTCCCAATAGGGCCGAGGTTTTACTTCCAGTTAGGCACTGGATGGTTTCCTCGTAAAACTTGTTGTGTGCTTTAAGTTCCTTTACGTTTTGTTTTTAATTTCCGCATAAGTTCCGCGATTGGAACCTACTACCATTCACCCCCCTCTTGTAGTAGTTCATCTAAAATAACAATTGGTATCAGAGCAGGTGCTCTTGATAAACCGGGCAACCCCGAGGAGCAAGTTCCAGGCTAGGATGGATACCTACAAGGAATGCAGCGAATGGAACTCAACCCTAGAACGTTCCCAATACCACGTGAAGACCAAAGTCTGCTTGTGAAGCAGATTTGATTCAAAGATGAACATCTTTGAGGTAAGTGTCTCGTCTTTGAAGTCTTTGATTATATATGTGTACAAGTTCTTTGTAGTATTTCTAGTTAAATTTTGGATTTTGTTTTGAAAGTTTGCAAATCAATTTTGTGTAACCTCAAATCTGATTTATAGAGTGAAAAGTATTTGTCAAATTTACAAATTGATTTATTTTTAAAGAATCGGTTTACTGGAAATAGTTCAAGGAACGTATTATGTAGAATTATGCATATTTGGTCTCTTGGAACCTAGATTACCCCTGTATGGAAACTTAATTCTTTGGGCAAGGTAATGAACGTATATTTTGAATATTTGCCAAAGAATGACCTTATCATGTGTATGTGTTTTTCTGAATATTTATTATGTAGACACATGGTGTTTATTGTTAGTAAAGATAGTTGGTTTAACCGTAGTTGTTTTAATTATGGATTATTGATGTCTATTACTAACATGAAGGTACCTAATATAAATTGGGTAACCAAAGCCAAAAGATGACCGATTTTGCAGGCTAAGTGAGTGGAGACAACTTATTAATAATGATGATCTTTGGTTGTTTGTATATAAGCAATTATGTGCAAATTCCTCTCACTAGAAAGCCTTTATAAGAGGTTTGTAGTAGGTGAAGCGACAGTGGATAAGTGTGTAAGTCGCCTATACATCTCTCTGTAAATATTGGTCATGTGCTTTTAGTATGTATTAATCCTTCACAAAGTCCTATTGAAATTCAATTCCCTAATATTATGAAGGTTATTTGTGAATGGATGAAAAGAGAAGTTGTTTGGATGTTTATAATGTATATCATGACAAACTAACTTCTCTTCTAGCTTTGTGCAAGTTATTAATGATTGTTTTGTAGGTTTGTCCATTGAGACAAATTGGTGCGCAAAAGTTTGTTCCATTAGGAGCTCAGTGCTTAAATGGGTTGGAACTTGGTGAACTTGGAATGATAAAACGAATTAGGGATACAGGAATAACAAAGCTTCTATATCAAGGTGCTATAGGAGTTAGCGTATACGTTCCTGTAAAGATTCTTGTTCAAGTTCCAGTTAAGTTCTTATTTGGAACAAAGCATTAATTCCTGTAGCAGACTCTTATGAAGGATAATGAGTTAAGATGATTATCTTTGACTGCGTGTTGGAGATTCATCATTTTGTTGATGGAACGACATCTAAAAGGGAGTATTCTTACAGGAACTTTATGTTTTAACACTTTTATGCTTTAGGTTTTATCTACCTCTTTTGACTAACCTACTGACATTTTTAAAGGCACAAAGGAATCTCTTGGGTTGTGAACTTTCAGGTTATATCTTTTGAATGATAATATGAGGGACTTTGACAAGGTGTTGAAGAATTTGAGATTAAATCAACACGTTCCTCTACCCAAGATACAACGGTCTAAAGGACCAGAAGGACATGTTCCAACTTTATGTCAAAAGGAACATGGAAGAGTTGAAGGTTTATAATAGGAGGGAACTTGCATTATCTCGACAGCGAGGATCCAAAAGAGATGATGATAGCCAAATCAAGGTATCTCTTGCTATAAACCTGCAATGGAAGAACTTTGACTTATAATACTAACACGAAAGGTAAAATTTCTACATAACAGGAAGTTAGTAAGTCAAGTTCCTATCCCATTGTGAATATTTTTCTTGTCAAGTTTTTAATGCACATTCTGGTTTTCAATTGCTTGTAACTCTAGTTGTTTTATGGCTTCAAAATGACATCATCAATAAAGAGTGGAAATGTCACATATGAAGGGAGTCAAAAAGGGAACACATCATTTGTGGATCTCAAGGTGATTCCTAACAACAACCTGACATCTCTAGGTTTTATTGAAGATGAGATACCTCTATGCTTCAAACTGTGAACATGTTAATCTTTTCATGCTTGATAAACCTAGTAGGAACTCGATAATAGGTATATGTACATGTAAGTTCCAAACAGGTTAAGATCGAGAAGCATGAGAATGAAACACATGTTACATTCTCTTTCAACATCAGGTAGATGGTAAGTGTTTCGGGGTTTTCTGATGTCCTGCGGGAGAGTTACAATTCCGAGACTGGAACCGGACGCCTGTACCTGC